TAAATAAACTGAGATGCTTCTAATAAAAGATGCAATTGAAACTGCTTTAGATTGGTGAACAGGCTTTTATATTCACCTTTTTTGTTTTTAATTTGTTGTTTTTATCTTATGTCTTCCTCAATAACTGACCCTTTGAGTCTGTTTAAATTAAAACCAAAAAAGTCTCCTGTTTTGATTTTTTTATTATTTTATTTTATTTTATATGTATGATTTGCCCTCTCAAGAGCAAAGGGAAACAATCTTGCCCATCTGCTTGTAAAAGCATGATGAATCTTTTGAATATGCGAATGTAAGATCTGTTGTTCAAGATGTCATGTTTTTCCCTCTGTTGTTAGCTGGGAGACAACACGGAATACCCTGATTTACCTGTGTAATCCCAGTGTGTCTCAGGTGCCAGGATTTGCTGTTGAGATCAGCATGTCTCCTGTCAGAAATGGTTGGAGTGAGACAGGGACGGCATGACCACTGGGCGCAAAGAGCTGCAGAGGTCAGGTTTCAAGGACAGCCAGCATGGCAGTGATGTGGCGGTGACAAGTTGTCAACTGAGCAAATATGAAAGTGGGGTTGGGAGGGAGGGAGAAAGAAAAAGTCTTGTCATTTCTGATGAAATATTCAGTGTAGCAGGTAGCAATGGACTGAATGGATTACACTCATGAGTTTGGTGATTGCTTTCTACAAATGGTGGAGAGCCGATTGCTCACAGTGGAGGCCTGTTCAGTGGTTGAGAATGCTGTTTACTAGCATGAGGATGTTCCACAAAAGAATGTCTGTCATACATTGCCTAATTTAAATTTTTGATTAAATTAAATATTACACTCTTGTTTATAGCAGTAGCAACATCAGGCTTGGTTAAGACACCTTTTAGAGCCCTTAGCTTCTGCTAAATCATTCATATAGATCCATGAGTTTCTATGGAGTATGATACATCTTAGAGAAATTTGGAAGGAAAACTATAATAACGATGCCAGTTCTGACTGCTCATAAATAATCATAATTAACAACTCTACTGTGTAAATTTGTTGGTTTGTTTTCAGACACTCTTCATTTTATTTTGAATTTTTCATATTGTATTGAATTGAAACACTTCTGTTTGTAGTTCTGTGAATTCCACAGTATATGAGTTAATAGCATACTTTATTTGTCCCTGAAACAGATCGCAGTAATATGGTGACTTTAATCTACTGGCATATTTGCAGAGTTCTTGATACCAGTTTTCTTCATGGTGAAAAAGTTCTACTACATGCGCGTTATTCCTTGGATCAGTAATACTTTCACGAGCCTGCATATGTGTACATGCACATTAATTCTGCATGTGTATGCAGAACAAATCCTAATTTAAGCTTGATCAGTATAATCTCATTAAGAATAAATTCTGCAAGTGTATCATGATTCCCAGTGAAGTCGAAGTCCTTGAATAGCTTGTTATAGTATAAGGAAAAATTATGTATTTATCTGTGAAAAGGATGCCTGCATATGCTTCTGTGTAGAATTTAGCAGTCATAGTTCTTCTTTGTTAATGTGCACTTTTATTCTTAAATAATGATCAAATGCTTTGTTGTGGATATATATGGAAAAATGCTTTAAATATATGTTCTATATTAGATTTCTTCAGTTTCTACTTTTAACTGCCATCAATTACCTTTTAAATTTAACTTTTCTTTACATGAGGGAGCAGCTGTATATTGACAAATAGTGATGCTGAAGGAGTTCTCTTTACTATCCCACTCTCTTCTTCCTATCTAAACCAATTTGATTATTTTTTACTTCCTCTGCAGCTGTTCAGGTTATAGTTGTGGTAGTGGGGGGATAGAAGGAATCAAAATGCCTAAATCCATAGTCAATAAGTCAGTATTTAAAAAATGCATGGATATTACTTTTTAGCAATATAAAAAAATGCTTAGTTGCTTGAGAATGTAGATGGAAGAAGAAAAATTTCCTGAAGCAAAATGGTCTTGGAATAAAAGAAAATAAATTTAAATGAAAAGAGAAAATAAGTTTAAATGAAAACAAGGCTATGAGAATGTTTAATGATGCAATGCAGTTTTGTCTCATTAAAGAGCAATAGAGCTAAAAAGCAGCCTTTAGAATTTAAATATAAAAACAGATGCAAGAAAACAGACAGAAGTCAATATGTAGAGTGGATGAATAGCTCGTAGGGGGAGTCCATTAGCTGGGATCTTGCCTACCTGTTAGGCATCTGCATGTTTGCTACAGTAATGCTTGAACTATGCTTCCGGCCAAATCATAGTGTCTGTCTCTTTCTGTGGATTTTTGGCAGGGGATTCTCAGTTGTAAGCTGGCTTTCACACTGCCATGTCTCTTACTCCCTGCTGGTGCACACTGCAGGTGATATCATAAAGATATCAGACTTTTCCTTCAGTCTCCCTCTCCAGAGCTCCATGTCTTCCAAGTGAAAAAAAAAAAAAAATAGTGGAACAGAAGTATCTAAGCTGGACTAAGCAAAAGCCCTGAAGAGATATATGTTGAAATCCAGGAGAAAAAAATTTCAATATTGATAATCTGGCAATGTGATTTTTTTTTTTTTTCTAAAAATAAACTTGGAATTTGAAGTGCCTGTAAAAGAGAATCTGGACTTTCATTTTTAAAATGCAGAATTCTAGTCTTTTCCTAGTAGAAGTTTCCTTGGAAATGTAAGTTCATGCTTCTTATGAATGGAAGACTTTTAAAGTTGCTCCATTATGAAATATGAGAAAGAGAAATTGGAAAGAACTCACTTCCTGCTCCAGAGGACTGCCCGTGCCCATTTGTACCTCCTCTCTTTGACTCATCATTTAAGGCACCTTTTAACAATTCATGCATTTTTCTACAGTCCTTAAAAATTGTGAGAATTACCCACTAGTTATGACTTTACAAATAAACTATTTGGGTAATTTATTTTTGCTGTAAGAAGCGCTGGAATCAATTTCTTTAAAATTTAACATTCCAAGCTTCTACATGCTCTCATTATGTACTGTGGGATGTGGTATTGTCTCTGGTCATTGTCTTGGAGAGTTAATGTGCTTCCAGTTTTGTTAGCTTGGTTCTTACTACTGGAATAATCAAGTATCTGAAATTGTTAGATGTGCATTCCTGATGGTTCTTGTTGTTGCTTATCTTCACCTTGTGAAGGCTGCTTTCACAAGCTTCTTTTTCCATGAGTAAGTGATTAAGTGCCAGTCAGTATTGTCTTTTGGGCCATCTTGGAATTCAGTTTTCTGGAGGATGGCAAGCAGTATTTTCTTTCATATGGGAATGAAAAGCTGCTGCAGTAATCTCATGTGTATTTCTTCTGTGCCTAATTCAAGCAAAAAATACTGGGAAAGACAAAAAACTATGTCTGTCTGTAGCCTATTTATCACTCTTTTTTACAAGTCATGAGTATTTTGCATATGTGATGTTCACCCAGTGGCTACCTACAAATCCTATCTCAGATCTGTGTGCATTGCACAGTGACTGCTCTGGCCTTTGTGTTAAGTGTGGCAGTGATTGTTTTCATTAGCTTCATAATTTCTTATCTTAACCCTCCAATTTCATCAGGTATTTAAGCTATGCCTGCTTTTGGCTGTTTTGTTTAACTTCATTGAGTCATGTTTTTTTTTAATTATTATTTTTTTAATATAGCTAAAGAAAATAAATCAGGTGCCTCTTAGAAAATCTAAATATGTTTGTAGGGAATTTGACAGACTGATCGTTTGTCTATAGGGAATTTGGCAAAGCCACCATTTCACCAAATCCTGTTCTTGTTCACTGAAATCTTGCTTGAATCATGTCTTATAGAAAAAAAGCCACATTGTGGGTGATGTGCCAAATATGCTCTTGCCAAACTGGTTAAAAGTGTCTCTCTTTGTCTGTACTGTAATGTATTCAGTAGTGTGTATTACTAATAGAATAAATGAAAAATGTATTTCTTTAACACTGCCATCTTTCTCTCTGACATGCATCTTGAGATGATTTGCAAATGCTCAGTTTTGTAAGTGGCTTACAGAGGAAATCAGTTAGCCTCTAATATTATGCTGATGCATGGCCAGTTGCTTGAACCCATTAATGAACTAATCACTGATACTCTAGCAAATGGTATTCTTTCTTTTGCATGCTGCCCATTTTGTTTCAGGTAAAATCAACATTGAAAAAAAGAGAATTTAAATAGATTATGGTATTTATCCTACCTTTTTTCTTATATGTACTTTGAGAAAAATTAGAAAGTTTGCTTCAAAAGCAAAATCTTTTGTGTCTCTTTTTTATACTAAGGCAAGGTTATTAAAATCTACGCTTTGCTTTTGGCTGACCACTGAAGCTAAATAGCATCTTCTACATGTAGAACAATCTTTTAAAACAATACACTTGTATTAAGCACAAGGTAATTTTTCTTTATTTCCCTTACTATCATCACTGATTATGAAAATAGTTTTATGTAAGTACAGATTCTCTCTCCCTTATAATCGTCTACCTCCTGCCCGATTCCTTAATTAATGACATAATTCAGTGTTCTGGACATCACAATCTCTTCCAGGGTAGTGAAATATGATCAGAGCTGCCTGGAATGTGTGTAATGGACCCCCCAAGTGAAGGTCATGCCTCTGTGGTGTTTTCCTGTCTGTAGAAAAAAATACGCTCTTTATCTAGATGATTTTCATTTTTAGATTAGAGAAAGAACTATCGAAACCCTACCCAGAGAGAAAGAACACACATAAAACTTCCTAGAAACAGAAAACATCCTGGTTATCCTTCTCTTAAACTGCCTCAGAAATCTGCATCTTAATGCATGGGTTGGTAGTGCTTACTACCGAAGAATGTGCTAGAGAATTCAATTAGCATGTGCCACCCCTGTCATTTTTTCTTTTTTGTTTTGTTTTGGTTTGGTTTGGTTTTGTTTTGTGGGTTTGTCTTGTGGGTTTTTTTTTTTGGTGGGTTTTTCTTGTTTGTATTTATTTTTTATTTTTATTTTTATTTTTATTTATTTTTATTTTATTTTTATTTTTTAGAAATTTGACAGGCCAGGACAGAGAGGTTTCAGTGGTAAACCACTTAGCAGCAGTTTTGTTTATCTTTGTCATGGTTTAACTGCAGCTGACAACTAAACACCATACAGCCATTTGCTCACTCCCCGGCCCTGGTGAGATGGAGAGAATCAGAAGAGGGAAAACTTGTGGGTTGAGATCAAAACAGTTTAGCAAGTAAAGCACCTACTTGCTGGTGGGGTGGTGTGAGAAGCAGAAAAGGCCTTGACTCTGTCTATGAACTACTCAGGAATAACTAAAATATCCCTATATTATCAACACTGTTTCAGCACAAATGCAAATCATAGACCCACCCTAACCACTAGAGCAAATTAACTCTACCCCAGCCAAAACCAGCACATCACAATTTTACTTTTAAGAGTTTTAGCTTGTCTATTTAAATGTCAGAGGCAGGAGAGAGTGTGGTTTGTGCTTTATTCCACAGATCTTGACAACCAGCAGCTAGAAGCCCAGGTTAAAAAAAAACAAAAGCCTAAAATGATCCAGCGTTTCTGTGGAGTTTATCTAAATCACATATGTTTTCCAGAGTGTAATTTTTTCTTCTAGGTGGTAGAGATGTTTGCAGTAGAGGTCTACAATCGTTTACAAAGCTCCCCTAAAAATCCCCCAATCTGTTGTTCTGTAGCTCTCCAAGTTTCAGTCTATTATACAGTGGCATTGTTCCATTGCTTGTATTGAATGTGTAAATTCATACACTTCCTCAGTGAAAAGTCACTACAGTCCATTGAGGAGCTCCTGAGATTTTGCATTAAGAGTGCCAAGGTACTTTGAATACTCCTTTAACTTCTTTTCCACAGGACACGCAAGATACACAGCTCATGTTTAAATCACCTCTGCTTAAGGTAAATCTTTTCACTTGCCTTCTCTATCGATGGGTTTGTTCTAATGCCAGATGATACAGATTTTACTCCAATTTACCATCATTCACTAATCTTAATGTTTACTGTTGATGAAGGTGTAAAGATGAATGATCCTTAACACCTCTTAAATAAATGCACTGAGCCTGAAGAGGAGTATTGTCAGCTAATTTTAAAGCTGTAAGTAGGCCTGATGAATTCCTTAGAAAATAGCTGTCTAAAACTTATGAAAAATATCCTGTATTTTTTTTCTTTTAGAGTTACTGCCTTTGCTTTCTTACCTGAATATCTTCAATTTAACTGGTGAGAGCAGAGAGAGGCAGAGAAAGATTTGGTTGATATCTTGGTTGATATTCAGGGATCACCTGCTACAAGCTCAGGAGTGTTGCATCCCAACTAGAAGGAAGTGCAGCAGGAGGGCCTGGTGACCTACTCAGACAGAGACCCCGTCCCAAACCGTGGCTGTTCAGGTCTCTGGGTGCAGGGAGTGCCAGAGCCTGCTGCTGCCGGGGGAGGGAGGACAGCATTCTACCTGCGTGAGGTGTGAGCAGGTAGAAGATCTGCTTAGCCTGGTGGCAAGACTTAAGGAGGAGGTTGAGACACTGAGGACCATCAGGGAGTGTGAAAGGGAGATCGACTGGTGGAGTAACTCCCTGGCGTGCCAGTCGGAATGGTTCCAGGGAGATACCCCCCAAAAGGGGAAGGACCCCCTGCCTTCTCACACAGAGGGGGATGGCCCGAGACAGCCCCTGCCCTGTAGCTGTTGCTCAGAGGTAGGGGACCAAAAAGATGACGAGGGTTGGAAGCGAGTTCCAGTTCGACGTCATGGGAAACCCTCCCCCCTTCCTGCCCTGCTTCCCCAGGTGTCCCTCCGTAATAGGTTTGAGGCCCTGGATCTTGAAGGAGAGGTAGGTGAGAATGTGGGGCAAGGCCAGCCTACAAGGCCACATAGGAAAAGGGGGTCGACTTTGCACCTCAAGACTGCCTCTGTTAAGAAAGAAAGAAGGGTCATTGTAGTAGGGGATTCCCTTCTGAGAGGAACAGAGGGCCCGATATGCAGAGTTGACCCTCATCATAGGGAAGTGTGTAGTCTGCCTGGAGCCCGGATCAGGGATATCACCAGGGCGCTCCCCAGCCTGGTGCACCCGACAGGCTACTACCCGCTGCTGGTCTTCCAGACAGGTGGGGAGGAAGCTGCTTCCCGCAGTCTGAGGGGGATGAAGAAAGACTACAGGGCCTTGGGGAGGATGGTGAAAGAGTCTGGGGCTCAAGTGATCTTCTCCTCACTACTTCCATCTTCCACTGATGATGTGGGAAGGAATGGGAAGATTCAGTCCATAAACGACTGGCTTCGAGACTGGTGCTACAGGCAGGGCTTTGGATTCTTTGATAATGGCTGGTTTTATAGGGCACCAGTCTGGACAATGACAAGTGAGAAAGGTTTGTCTCACAGAGGCAAAAGGATGCTGGGGCACGAATTAGCAGGGCTCATTTGGAGAGCTTTAAACTTGATTTGAAGGGGGATGGGGTTGTAGCTGGGCTTGCCCCAGTGGGGCAGCACTCCAGAATTGATGAAGACTGGGAGGCCTCCTATAATCCTAGGGTGAAATCGGTGTGCTCAGCTCGCTCCCTGGAATGTCTGTAAACCAATGTGCGCAGCATGGGAAATAAGCAGGAGGAGTTGGAAACCTGTGTTAAGTCAGGAGACTATGATCTGGTGGCAATTACAGAGACATGGTGGGACAGCTCACATGACTGGAATATAGTCATGGAGGCTATGTCCTTTTCAGGAAAGACAGGCCAGCCAGGCGGGGTGGTGGGGTTGCTCTTTATGTGCGGGAGGAACTACAATGCACCGAGTTCTGTCCAGGGACAGATGACGAGCGAGTTGAGAGTCTGTGGGTGAGAATTAAGGGGCAGGCTGGCAGGGGGGATACTGTTGTAGGTGTTTGTTACAGACCACCAGATCAGGGTGAGGAAGTTGACGAGGCCTTCTACAGGCAGCTGAGAGCAGCCTCACAGTCACAGGCCGTGGTCGTCGTGGGGGATTTTAACTTCCCTGATGTTTGCTGGAAGGACCACTCGGCAACCCAGCCACAGTCCAGGAGGTTCCTCCAGTGTATGGATGATAACTTCCTCCTGCAAATGGTGGATGAGCCGACCAGGAGAGGAGCGCTGCTGGATCTCATCCTCACTAACAAGGAGGATCTGGTTGAAGCAGTAAGGGTTGAGGGCCGCCTTGGTTGCAGCGGCCATGAGATAGTGGAGTTCAGGATCATGTGTGGTAGGACTAGTAGAATACCAAGTAGAATTGCAACCCTGGACTTTAGCAGGGCAAACTTTGGCCTTTTCAAGCAATTGCTAGGGGAAATCCCATGGGCAAGGCTGCTTGAAGGTAAAGGGGCCCAAGATAGTTGGTTGACATTCAAGGATTGATTTTTCCGAGCTCAAGATCGGAGCATCCCGACACGTAGGAAGTCAAGGAAGAGGGCCAGGAGACCTGCGTGGCTAAATAGGGAATTGCTGGGTATGCTCAAGTGGAAGAGGAGAGTTTACAGGTCATGGAAGGAGGGGCTGGCCGCTTGGGAGGAATATAAGGCTGCTGCTAGAGTATGTAGGAAGGCAGCTAGGAGGACTAAGGCCTCCTTAGAATTAAACCTGGCGAGAAGGGTCAAGGACAGCAAAAAGAGCTTTTTCAAATACATGGCAGACAAAACTAACACCAGAGGCAATGTAGGCCCACTGATGAATGGGATGGGTGCCCTGGTGACAGAAGATACAGAGATGGCAGAGTTACTGAATGGCTTCTTTGTCTCTGTCTACTCTGCTGCAGGCAGTCCTGAAGAGCCCTGTACCCCTGAGACCTTAGATGAAGTCAGGCCAACGGAGCGGTTTGCCTTAGTCAATGAGGAATGGGTTAGAGATCAGTTGAGCAATCTGGACATCCATAAATCCATGGGTCCAGATGGGATGCACCCGCGGGTGCTGAGGTTACTGGCGGAAGTCATTGCTAGACCACTCTCCCATCATCTTTACCAAGTCTTGGGAAACAGGAGAGGTGCCTGAGGACTGGAGGAAAGCAAATGTCACCCCAGTCTTCAAAAAGGGCAAGAAGGAGGACCCGGGTAGCTATAGACCGGTCAGCCTCACCTCCATCCCTGGGAAAGTGATGGAACACCTTATCCTTGGTGCCATCTTAAGGCATATCAAGGATAAGAGAGTTATGAGGGGCAGTCAACATGGCTTCACCAGGGGGAAGTCATGTTTGACCAATCTCTTAGTCTTTTATGAGGAAATAACATGGTGGATGGATGATGGCAGAGCGGTGGATGTGGTCTACCTTGACTTCAGCAAAGCATTTGACACAGTCTCCCACAGCATCCTCACAGCTAAATTGAGGAAGTGTGGACTGGATGATCAGGTAGTGAGGTGGACTGTGAACTGGCTGAAGGAGAGAAGCCAGAGAGTTGTAGTCTATGGGGCGGAGTCTAGTTGGAGGCCTGTAACTAGTGGAGTGCCTCAAGGGTCAGTACTGGGACCGGTATTATTTAATATATTCATCAACGATTTAGATGAGGGAATTGAGTGTACTATCAGCAAGTTTGCTGATGACACTAAGCTGGGAGGAGTGGCTGACATGCCAGAAGGCTGTGCTGCCATCCAGCGAGACCTGGACAGGCTGGAGAGTTGGGCAGGGAGTAACTTGATGAAATATAACAAGGGAAAGTGTAGAGTCCTGCATCTGGGCAGGAACAACCCCAGGTTCCAGTATAGGTTGGGAAACGACCTGTTAGAGAGCAGTGTAGGGGAGAGGGACCTGGGGGTCCTAGTGGACGACAGGATGACCATGAGCCAACACTGTGCCCTTGTGGCTAAGAAGGCAAATGGCATCCTGGGGTGTATTAGAAGGGGGGTGGTTAGTAGGTCGAGAGAGGTCCTCCTTCCCCTCTACTCTGCCCTGGTGAGACCCCATCTGGAATATTGTGTCCAGTTCTGGGCCCCTCAGTTCAAGAAGGACAGGGAGCTGCTGGAGAGAGTCCAGCGCAGGGCAACGAAGATGATTAAGGGAGTGGAGCATCTCCCTTATGAGGAAAGACTGAGGGAGCTGGGTCTCTATAGTTTGGAGAAGAGGAGACTGAGGGGTGACCTTATTAGTGTCTATAAATATATAAAGGGGGAATGTCACGAGGATGGAGCCAGGCTCTACTCAGTGGCAAACAATGATAGGACAAGGGGTGATGGGTACGAACTGGAACACAAGAGGTTCCACTTAAACTTGAGAAGAAACTTCTTCTCAGTGAGGGTGACGGAACACTGGAACAGGCTGCCCAGGGAGGTTGTGGAGTCTCCTTCCCTGGAGACATTCAAAACCCACCTGGACACATTCCTGTGTAACATTATCTAGGTGTTCCTGCTCCGGCAGGGGGATTGGACTAGATGATCTTTCGAGGTCCCTTCCAATCTCTAGCATACTGTGATACTGTGACCTCCATGGATGGATAAGGAGCTGCTGAGGAAAATTCAAATGAAAAAAGTGGCTTGAAAAAAATGGCTTAAAAAAATGGAAGCAAGGACAGGCAGCCTGGGGAGAATACAGGGATGTTGTCCAGGAAGCTAGGGACCAGGTTAGGAAAGCTAAGGCCCAGTTGGAATTAAACTTGGCTAGGGATATTAAGGATAACAGGAAGGGATTCTACAGGTACATAGCAAATAAAAAACAGACTAGGGAGAACATAAGCCCCCTCAGGAAGCTCTCGGGAGAGCTGGATACACAGGATTTGGAGAAGGCTGAGGTTCTGATTTCTTTGCCTTGGTCTTTGCTGGCAAATGCTCTGACCAAACCACCCAAGTCTTGGAAGGCAGACACAGGGACTGTGAGAATGAAGACCTTACGCCCACTGTAGGAGAGGATCTGGTTGGAGACCATCTTAAAAAGCTGAACGTGCACAAGTGCATGGGTCCTGATGAAATCCATCCGTGGGTCCTGAAGGAGCTGGCGAATGAAGTTGCGAAGCCGCTGGCCATCATATTTGAGAAATCATGGCAGTCAGGTGAAGTTCCCGATGACTGGAAAAAGGGAAATATAACCCCCATTTTCAAGAAGGGGAAAATGGATGACCCGGGGAATTACAGACCAGTCAGTCTCACCTCTGTGCCTGGCAAAATCTTGGAGCAGGTTCTCCTGGAAGGCATGCTAAGGCACATGAAAAACAACAAGGTGCTTGGTGACAGCCAGCGTGGCTTCACTAAGGGGAAATCCTGCCTGACCAATTTGGTGGCCTTCTATGATGGGGCTACAGAACTGATGGACAGGGGTAGAGCAGTTGACGTCATCTACCAGGACTTGTGCAAAGCGTTCGACACTGTCCCACATGACATCCTTGTCTCTGAATTGGAGAGACATCAATTTGATGGATGGACCACTCGGTGGATAAAGAGCTGGCTGAATGGCCGCACGCAAAGAGTTGTGGTCAATGGCTCAATGTCTGGCTGGAGACCAGTAGTGAGGGGTGTCCCTCAGGGATCAGTGCTGGGACTGGTTTTGATTAACATCTTTGTCGGTGACATGGACAGTGGGATTGAGTGCACCCTCAGCAAGTTTGTTGATGACACCAAGCTGTGTGGTTCGGTTGATACACTGGAGGGAAGGAATGCCATCCAGAGGGACCTTGACACCCTTGTGAGGTGGGCTGATGCCGATCTCATGAAGTTTAACCATGCCAAGTGCAAGGTCCTACACCTGGGTGGGAGCAATCCCAGGCACAGCTACAGGTTGGGCAGAGAAGAGATTCAGGGCAGCCCTGAGGAGAAGGACTTGGGGTTGCTGGTTGATGAGAAAATGAACATGAGCTGGCTTCAGTGTGTGCTCACAGCCCAGAAATCCAACCTTATCCTGGGCTGCATCAAAAGCAGTGTGACCAGCAGGTTGAAGGAGGTGATCCTGCCCCTCTACTCTCCTCTTGTGAGACCTCACTTGGAGCATTGGGTGCAGTTCTGGTGTCCTCAACATAAAAAGGACATGGAACTGTTGGAACAAGTCCAGAGAAGGGTCACAAGGATGATCAGGGGACTGGAGCACCTCCCGTACGAAGACAGGCTGAGGAAGTTGGAGCTGTTCAGCCTGGAGAAGAGAAGGCTGCGTGGAGACCTCATAGCAGCCTTCCAGTATCTGAAGGGGGCCTATAGGGATGCTGGGGAGGGACACTTCATTAGGGACTGTAGTGATAGGACAAGGGGTAACAGGTTAAAACTTAAAACAGGGGAAGTTTAGATTGGATATAAGAAGGAAATTCTTTCCTGTTAGGGTGGTGAAGCACTGGAATGGGTTGCCCAGGGAGGTTGTGAATGCTCCATCCCTGGCAGTGTTCAAGACCAGGTTGGACGAGGCCTTGGGTGATATGGTTTAGTGTGAGGTGTCCCTGCCCATGGCAGGGGGGTTGGAACTAGATGATCTTAAGCTCCTTTCCAACACTAACTATTCTATGATTCTGTGATTGTATTTCATTAAAATGAGTGGGAAGTTTATCAAGCTTTCTCCTTTCATCTTTTAAAATAGAAACTGCATCTTGCCATGACTGCTGTGAGAAGAGTATTATATTTTTAAGAGGGCAAAAAGACTTATGGCAAATGATTTCCCTCCATGTTGGAAAAAGGTTAGTGATATTTCACATGGTGCTCAGATTATTTCCAGGTATTTGTAAAATGGGGATTTTTTCTTTCTGCTCTAGGTCTCTGGGCTGGTTTAGTTAAGCACTGCTTTTGTATCGGTACATAATTTGGATGAGCGATTGCAGGTTTTGATTCCCATTTCTTTTGAGTTTCTTGCCGAGTACGAAGTAGCTAGGGAATGGTTCCTATGAAATTATACAGTGAAAGTAGTGCATGAGCAATGGAAATATTAATGAACATGATTGTTTTGACACATAAGAATTAGAGCATGTTTAAATATTATACATAGTGTATGAACTGCTGACACAAAATGAGAAACATGAGATTTATATCTAACAAATATTGCTCAACTTTGGTTCTCAGATTTGAAGAAGTCAGTTTACTTAGATCAGCTTCTGTGGCGTTTTAAAGTCTCTCTATCACAGATTCAAGGCAGCCAAAGAGAATGTAAGGGTGGTTTGCTGAACTCCAAAGCCTTGTAATGTCTGAATTTTAAAAACCAGGTTAATCCACCCTAATTTGCACTACAATCCATTTGCATGTTGACAAAATGAAATTTACAGTTGCTTTCTGGCAGTGTTCAAATTTACATTTGGCATATTCTATTTTTTTTTGGCATAATATATACTTTTTGCTCTTTTGACCAATTTTTTATGCAAATAACAGTAGAAATGCAATGCATTTTTCTGATGTCCTAAAATAAAATGTAGAATTTACAGGGTTGTAAAACCATGGGTTAGAAAAGATTTAAAGGATCTTGAGCCAGGGCTATTTTTAGTTGTTTGTATGGGAATTTGCAGGATGTTTTATGCTAAGAGCTTTTAAAAGTATTTGTTTAGTAACAATGTCTGCTGTGTTTTTTCCATGTCTGATGAACTGTGCCTGTTTTAAATGGCTAGATATGATCCCAAAATTTTAATAGACAAATGTTTCTTCCTAGAAAGTGGTAAAATAGCAGCAGGAAAGTAAAGATTACTTAAAGGATAACTTCATTAAATTATTGAAATTGACTAGTGAACACTTGATCTGCTTTTCAAATTACCATTATTTCTGTATAATACAGTTCATGCTAAAATATGATTATCAGATCACTCACCATTCCACCATGTATAGGCAACTAGAACCAGAAATGGCATCTCGGTATACTGATGAGACTGATCTTGGATCAGACTGAAATATATAAATTATTGGTCCATTTAGATCTCTATATTACAACAGAATGTAGTTAGGAAAGATACGACATCATAGTAGAAGGTGGGCAAATAAATGACAAAAGTGCAACATTTCCTCATGAATTTTGTGATCTTTAGTATTTAAGTAAAAATTGCTCATCAAATATCTATTCCAAAGTCCACTGATTTCAAACAATAGAGTGTCAGAATACAGACAACCTTACTCTAGTGATTGGCATACATGCAAGCTCTAGGTTCAAATGCTGGATGAAGTAGATCTGGCTCTGTCAGGATTGCACAGAGTTTTTTTGCATTGTCTTGGCGTTTGGTCTGTTATTTCTCAATCTCATGTATTCTGACATTCTGCATGAGAATTTGCACAGCCAATAGTTAAAATACATTCATAATAGCTTGCTTTGGATTACCCAGGTGATTACTCAACCTTTAATAATTTGTTCAGCAGTCTTAAATAATTGTCTTTGGAACCTTGGAACCTTTCAAGGAGTCTGAAATCCAGTTTTCCTTGGCAGTATTTCACTTGAAGTAACTTGGGAAGAATAACCTCATTTTCCTTTATAAACTACATGTTTTGTCAGGTGAAGTTTATCAGTAAGTTCCACTGGAGGATGACTTAGGTGCTTAATTAACTTGTATGGATTATATTTTAGGCTACACTCAATCTGTGTAGCAGATGCACATACATCATGAGTTTATGGTCCTCATCAGTAGTTCCAATGAGAACTTGTTTGTTGAACTCCATGGCTTTAGCTAGGAGGAGCAAAGGCTGAGGAAGATGAAGGTGTCTTGGCTGTTACTCTGAGGTAGGTACTTATCTGCACCCAGAAATTTTAAATATTATGAGTTCTGTAACTGAGCAATAGTTGGTATTATGCAGGGATAAATACTCTTGCAGCTCTCGTAGTTTTCTGCTATTTGAGATGGATACCTTCTGTGGTTTTGTTTTCACACTGTTTAAACAAGTTAGATTAAAAAGGTGAATAATAACTATATGTATGTAGATAAGCTGTTATCTCCTGCAAAGAACTTTGTTGTAGGAGAGTAGCTTGCTTCCTGCAGAAGGTGTAATCTACACATATGAATTTACCTATTGCATTGCCTTTAGAGAATCGGTTCATTCTCTTGCTTGAGTCAGAACAGAACTGGTGATTTCATGATGTGTTAAGGCTGAAGTTGAACCCAGGATGCTGTGCTTCAGGGCAACACATCTTCACAAATCAATGAATCTGTTCCTTGTTGCCCCCCCATGGAGGGAGCTGATGACAGAGGACCATGGGCTCAAAGATGCAGCCAGGAGAGAAGTCTGCTGGCAGCAAGGATATTTTGTGTTGAAAGCTGTTGGCCTGGTGTGTTTTCCCCATTTTTAATACAGCTCTAATCTGATTAGTATGAGGGATTTCTTTGTTTGACATCATCATGCTGTTGCTTAAAGGATATGTTTTTCCCATTTGAAAAAGAAGTTATTCTTTATTTTATTTAATTAAAAATACCTCTTTCAACCACCCAAATAGAAAAGTAAAATGACTCATTTATGTGAAATATTGTGAAAATATTAATTCTTCTTTCTTTTTGATGTGAAAATATTAATTCTTCTTTCTTTTGGTGTATTTCTCACTGTGGCATATGTATGCTGTACACAGAGGTTGATAGTTGCTTATTTTGTCAGGTACATACAAGGTAACCATAGGCACCGACATTAAGCGTAAAGCTGTTTTGGCTTTTGTTTAGTTTCTTTTTATTAAAACAAAAAACAAACAACAAACAAAACAAAACCCAACAAAACCCAACCAACCAACTCTGTTTATTTTCAGATTGGTTTTAGCTATTTACTGTTTTGCCTCAGATGATATTTTGGTGCTCTTTTTCTGTCTGCTGCTGCTCCTGATGGTTTGGTGTTTATTGGAGCGCAGGAATCATGGTGAGGATATTGATCTGTGTTGGTCTTTTTCTTTTTTTTTTTTTTTGTCTTTCTTTCACATGGTCATTTAGATTGAGCCATCTGCTCGCCTAATAGTGGGGATACTGAAGAAAGACATTTTCTTCCAGGCTTACATATGAATTGTACTTTCAGATAGAGGTTATTCACTTCAAAATACGAAGATTGAACTATGATTCCATCACATTAAATAAAAAATCATGAAAAATAAATTATGTGCTCAAAAATATTTTCTTTGACGTTGTTTCTTTGCCACTGCTCTGATTGAAACTGTGGCATATGAAGTGCATCTTTTCTGTAATCACTGCTGTAAGTGGGCAGGAAAAAGGACTACCTTTATTCTACTAATTTTCCCACAGTCAACATAAAAAAAAAAGCTCTGATAAATGCCCTCTATTCAAATACTTTGCAGGATGGTTTTGTAGCGTTGTTGCTATGTGTTGTTGATTAGGAGAGTAAGGCACAGCGAGTCCATACAAGAATGTAAACAGAACCTACATAAAGTGACTACTGGTTCCTCCCACTTCAGCTATCTGATTTTTTTTTTTTTAAGCAAAATTTATGCATTTAAAATAAATCCTTAAAGCTTCAAAGTCTGAAACCAAATGGGAATAAAATATGTTGTTCCCACTCTGACAGAATGATTAAGTGGGAATATAATGAAGGTGCTAGATGATGTTGTGAATGTGGTTTAGCCTGATCTCCATCATATTCACAGATTGTTTTTTAAGGTATTTTGTTTTATTTTAGTTTATATTTTAATTTTAAGCTATGTTATATGTTATTTATTTTATTTCTTTGATTTTACTTAATCACTCTGGAAGGCACAATCACCTTTGAGTGCAAAGGGAGGAAGTTTACTATGGGTAAACTCAACAGGTTCATCTGTTCAACTGAGCATGGAGCAAGTTTGCCAGAGTGGTTCCTTGGGTGAGTTTGGTGTTACTGAAATAGCAGTGGAGTCGACAGGGCTGAGGCTGTTCTTCAAGATACTCCTGACTTCTTTCTCCTCTAGGGTGGAGCACAGTCATTTCCTGGGTTCTTTTGAGAGTTTGGGGATGGGAGATCTCTGTAGACATTACCAGATTCTAGACACTGACTTTGTTGCTCATGGTTGCCCTGTCAGAAGAAAAGTGTTTGGCTGTAGAGAAAACCTGTGCAGTCTGGCAAATGAGATACCTAGGATTTGATTAGCATGAATATCATTAATGCTGTTAATTTAAATCTTTTGGTAGCTTTGCTGCTGAAGAACATGAGTAAATCTGGTTCACGTTTGTTTTGTACTAACCTGTATCTTTTTAACCTGTTTACTGCCTCATTATTCCCCTGTGAAGAGCTGTAGTTAGATTCTTGTCATGTGCTTAGGAAGACTTGGCATGCGCTATGGCTCACTTTAAATTTTTGTTCTTTGTAACTTTTTAGCCTTCTAGCATAATGTCTCTCAAACTCTAGATTCCCTTCTGATGTCTCCAGCGGAAAAGATGTCTGAAACTCCATTACTGCAAGTACTTCTGCTTGTAGTTACTTCTACAAGTAATCCCTTTGAAATCAATAGGGAATATTCCCAGTAGTAAAGTTAAATAGTCTGAAATGTCTTGCAGAATAAAGCCTAAGGCTGGGAAACATTACAGAACGTTGCATGACTTCATTACAAAGGGCACCACCACAAAAAGAAACCCCATCTTAAATAACCACTAATGAACTTAATACAGTAAATAGTTTTATAAACTATATGATTTTCTAATTGCTCTTTATATATTTTTTTGGTGGTTGTTGTTTTTAAAACATCAACATAAATATTCCAGTTTTGAAATAATGCTTGTTTTAAGACCACTTATACAAGAGAATATCAAAACTGATCTTTGATATGTTCTGTTTGGTATTTTCTACCCTTACTTATTCTCTCCTATGTCTGTTTCCTATCCACCCGTACTACCTCATTCAGCTCCACTTATGACTATTCCTTCCCAATCCAGTTAACAACCAGCTGTTCCTTGTGAGTGTGTAGTTATGCTGTCCAATGGTATTTTTTTGAAATTAAGTAAGTGGCAGAGAAGTTTTTTTACATGTTTTTTTAAACCAAACAATGAAGTAAATAAGTACACTTTGAAAAGCAGCTCTGAGTCAGGACTTCAGTAAATTACAATTTAATCAGCAAGGCCAAGTTACGTTTGAAAACACATTTGTAAACTTCAGTAGAAACTGCTCCCATATATCTGAAGTTAGGATTTTGGCCTGCATTTTTACAGAAACAGTGCATGTTTAATATACTTTCTTCTTTTGACAACGTACATTTTCTGTAGCCACAACTTTTGATCTACATTGTTTTCTTGAGTATTTAGAAGGCTTTCTATGCTGCTGGGGACGAAAAATTAGGCCCAGATTATTCATTAATTTATGTGAAATCATAAGATGAAAATTAAAAAAATCTCTTTCCAAATCCTCAAAGGCTGAATCATGACTTGATATAAATGTCCATATGCAGAAAATTGAGCCTGGAGTATGGCTGAAAATACCTTTTTGCCCAGAAAATACAGCTGCAAAATCCTGATTCCTAGCTGATGAAATTCTTAGCTGCACCAACTTGCAGTTTGTGTTCAAGAGGCCACATGTTTTCATTATACAGGTATAAAGGAAACTGGAGAATCTGTAAAGTGTAAAGGAAAAAAGTTCTACTCTTATAGATCTTTTTCTATAGTAATTTCTGTAATGTGTAGTCGACAGCCTATAGAAATATAATATTACAAAACTGAGGTGGCAGATATGTATGAATACCATTAAATACAATTTTATAATGAAAATTTTGTCTTATGAAGGTGAAACTTTTAGATCATATTAGAATTCTAAATTTTTTATGCATAGCAATCAAATGACCTCTCTATATTGCCACATAAAGTATAGATTTAAAGTTAAATGATCCAGTCAGTCATTTAGCATTTTCTTAGGGTCATCTTTTGCCAATAACTACAGATGTTTACATATGATTTTCTTGTTTCTCTGTTTGTATTATTTACATTTTAAGAATTGAAGGAAGAATGACACTTTTAAAACTGTTTTTAATAGCCTTTGTTTATTGTTAATACCTACTGTTCCAGGCTCTTGCTCTAATGATTTTTTCCACACTGCATTGATAATTAAATTCATTCATTTTGCTGGCTGCACAATTCTTTTAAATAAAAAGTTATGGGTAATAATACCTATTATGTTGAAAGTACAAAGGAGAAAAGGGCAGATCCACAGCTTTTAGTTCAAGGAGAGCCAATGGATTTTCCAAGTTACAGGTTTAAATAAAATCAGAAATCTTGAGTCCTTCAATATACAATATAGTAATGGTAGTGCAGATTGAAGGTATAGCATTGTTTTGTTTTTCTCAAGCTATAGTGCATGCAATGTTTTTTCCAGTAAAACAGGAGCTGAGGGTATGCGATGTGTGGTCCATTTAAGGATATTTATTAATAGTAATTTCAGCGTTGGTCTTCTTAGATGACTGGAGACTATTTGCATGTTGCTACCTCCTAACATATACATGGTAGCAGTTAACCTTTTCACACCCTTTCCATTGTGAACATGTGACACTTTGGTAAAATAAGATGCATATAGCAAAAAATTTATGCTATTCTGGGATTATTTATTTGCTAATACAGCCTCTGCAATTTTTATCTATTTCATGATATTTTAGGTTTTGCAATTTTAAAATTATGTAAAAGGGATATAATTGCTAATAGAGAAGACATTCTTAGCCTCATATTTATTTATTGTCATGTTTACAGACCTCCAGAAGAAAAAACATTCTGTCCATTTAGCCAAATACGTTTTAATTTTATTTTGAAAAAAGATCAGTATAAAGGAGTAAGAATCGATATAATTTAAAATAGATAATAATCTCATTTTGTAAAATTTATTTTGTAAGTTGGAATATCACCAGTTTGCAAAAACAATTCACAGAAAATGTAATTTTGAAATAGTGATAAATAAAAAGCTTGCATTAAAAGTGGGAGAAATATAGATCAATTTGTAGCTACTTTTCAGCATCTCAGCTCTGGCTTATAAATTCTTTTGGACTCAGTTTAGTGGAATTTTCTTGATTCTTGTCAGCCCCAGAGTACCTGATTTTTGAAAGGGTGAGAATCTCTTCCTCTGAAGTAGCTCTTTTTTTAATACTGAGGTGCAACTTTCCTTCTGCTTTTTCTTCCTCTTTTCTCTCTACCTTTCACATTTTATTTGTGCTTCTTTTCTTGGTAGATTCTTGGGGTATATGAGTTCTGTTTAAGGTTATCAGGGCTGGTAGAGTCGTTGGAGTAGAGTATTGAGGAGGCTTTTGGAGTTTTGTTATTAAAAGCCAGAATTCTTTCTTTCTACCTGTGTTCTTGCAGGTGTATGGAGGGTATGAATCATAACAAAACCATAGGTCTTCATCCCGCTTTCCTCACCTGTTGGAGGGCTGATGATACAACCTTCTCCCTATGCTTTGTTCTGTCACCATTAGGCGTTGAATATTGGTGATGAAAGTGTGCTCTGGTGGGATACTGCTACCCAGCCATCTCATTTTGCAATGATATAATAAGAATACAGTGTCCCAAGTAGAGTAAGGATTATTTCAGGACCTGAAAATGCTTTATTCCTGACACTTCTTATTTAAAATATATCTACTACCTGTATTATCTTTAGTAATTCTCATCAAGCATTTAAGTACTGTGGATGATTCTGTCTTGGGTATTCTTATTTCTGAAACTTGTTAAGAACAAATGAATAACTTAAAGATCTGAGCAATAATCACTGATCCCCAAGCTGAACACCACAAGGCCTGTACCGGTGTCAAGTGCCAACACTGATGTATTTGAAAAGGCAAAGACTGAGATGCCAAATCAGACACTTCTGAACTAAGGGACAGGATACCTGTATGTTCTCCCTACTAAGGTCCATCATAGAGGGAGTCATGAGGGAGGCCAGAGAACCTTTTTAACTCATCTGCTCACACATTCTGCTATTACGAGCTCCTGTCTCAATTATTTCTGCTAGACATACTTGAGTGTTTCTTTCAGAGATAAAGACAAGGGTGTTACATCCAGCTCTTGCTTCTGCTCATATGTTGGTGTAGATAATGAAGTCCCAGATGCTAAATCTGAGTTTGTCAGAAGTTGTTAGTCAAATCCTATAGGAGTACTGAAAGCATCCCTCATGGAAGTCTGGAATCAAAGTAGGTTTGAATCAGCAGCATCAAGTTGGATGCATAGTTTCTGTTTGGTCTGACTTCTAATGAAAAGCGTATGAATTAAAGAGAGTCAATCAGAAAGGGAAAGGGCAAATAAGAGGAGCTGGTCTAACAACCACTGATAGAATCAAAACCAGAAAGAAGAATTTAAGCTAATTTTTAATAAACATATTGCAGTGGAACTCCAATTATTAAGTAGTCTGATATTGAACAATTCTGTTAATAGTGGCAAAAAAGCTTTTCTAAATGAGATGTTTCAAGTGAGTGAACTGCGGTGAATGTCTCCTTGAAACTCTATGGGGATTTGGACTTGGGCAATTTTAACAGGGAATGTGACCTTTTTATCCCAAAAGACTTACCGTCTCATCACAATTCCAAGCATCCTTGAGGTTTGGCTGAAATTTCTATATGAACAGTTTCATTTTGTAATTTCCTGTTGTGCTTAGAAAGCTGAAAATTGCAGGTGATTTTGTTACTGATTGCCTTTGTTTTCCTAATGGCTGAAATTGGTACATACTGTATGGGGTCATTGTCCTGGGAATTTCCTTAATGATAACTTATAAGAAAGTGATCTTACTGTACAAAGCTGCTAACAAGTGAGGAAAAGTGAGCATATGTGAGAGGTGTCTGCTGGCTGCTGAAACATAATCCATGTTCCTCTAATGAACTGCTGTGATCAGACTAATGTGGAGGGCAAACTTGTATCTAGACCATGTGTACGCATATATATATATAATATATACATATGCTTGTTTCAAACTGTAATTTACTACCTTTTATGGAATTATTAATGCTTTAAATACAGTGTCCAAACACCTGCTAGTGAACCTTTTGATTCTTGTGAAAAGAACCAAAACCTCTTGTGGGGAGGTGTGAATTCTTCTCTCACCTTTTCCTATAAATAGCACTCATACAGTTTGTAAACCTTGTCTGATCTAAAACCATGGCATATTATTATGAAACATGAGGAAATCTTTATCTGTTCACTTGATCCATAGAGAAGAGAGGGAGGGAGAAAGAGCATGTGACAATTAAATGTCGCTGCCTTCTCTGGAAGGTGAGAACCAGTTATTCACCTCCTCCTGCAACGTATACATAGGTGGGAAAGGTTTACTGCTGTAGTTGAAGGTCTCTCCTATCACCTGCAGTTTTTTTTCATAGAAAGAGCTTGGGTTGCCGTTGGATTCTTCCCCACTTACACAGTTAAAGGTCTTTCTGAACTCTGACGTTGGCTCCTACTGAGGGGGAAGGCAAAGGGGCCTCTAAGTGTCTGTGCAATAAGGCCTGCCTGTGAGCCTGTACAGCATTGTTGTAGATGCTGTTCTGCAGCCTTAGCTTTCCTTTCATCCTGTGGGACATGCCCTGCCTTATAGGGTGATTTCTATCGAGAAACAGTAAGTTCCTTAAACAAAAAGAAGTCTATTCCCACTTGCAGGGTTCATAAAATTGGAAGTACCAGGACTGTATATCTCACTGTTGCAGATATTCTTTAAAAACCCTCTCTAAGTTTGCATTTCAGAAATGTGTGGAGATTTAAAGAAAAAGGAGATGCTGGAGAATCCTTTGAGGATTTCACATAACTCAGTATATTTTCCAGGCTGAAATATGATTTATGTTACAACATATTTGTGAAAACCCAATTTTGATATTTAGTGTTGTGTCTATCCTAATAACTAGCTATTTTCCTGGCTTCCTCAACAGGGAGAACTAAGAAACAAGAAGAAATTATCTAATTGGTGGTAAAATCACAGTGTAGTCTTACTTACGAGGAGAGGATTACTGCAAGTCTTGTTTCTTGGATGAGGGAGTTTTGTCGACTATCTTATTTTTGCAATTTTGCAGAGACATATGCAGTGAAAACTCTATACTGCATCCTTTCTGCATTCATAAATAACCATTCTGGATGTTTTAGGTTCTAATAACTTATGCAGACAAAGGCAACTCTAGTAAGAAAGATGTTTGTGTTGAAGGTATTTGTGTAACTATGACTGCAGGTGAGAGATCTGTATTCTGTGCCAAGTGCTATCTTTTCCTAATATTTCTAGTACTTGATCTGTGTTCCAGTGAGTTGGTGTTTCAGTGTATCGCTTGCTTCACAATTTCTCAACTTTTCTTTGTGAGCAGTGAATGTCAGTAAAAAAAGGCAAAACCATTCTCCAGCAAATTAACCTACTTAAATCTGGAAGATATATGGAAGTGTTATACTTCCTCCTATCTAGAGTCTTTTTGCAAAAGTTAAAGGAATAATATAGTAATTTGTTTTATGTGAGTGTAATGCACTATTTTGAACAAGAATGTATCAAATTCCTATCGTCAAAAGGAACTGGCTAATAGGCTGTTAAAATGATTATTCCATCAAATTATATTACTAGTTAGCTGTTAATGATTAGCATCACATGGTTTATATTCAAAGTTTATGCTTACATATTTTTTTAAATGCTAAGTTGTTGCTTATTTCAGCCTTAAGAAATATTGGGAGTATGATTAGCAGAAAGAGAAATGGTCTTTGTCTAAGAAGCAACTGATTGTTGTTAGTATGAAAGTGTCTTATCTTTTACCTTTATAATTCTAATAAAGAACATTTAGGAATACAATTGACAGCTGAATTTGTCCAATGAATATGCGTTGCTTGCATACAGTTCCAAAAATACAACTTCAGCTATTTCAGAAATAAATTCTCTTTCCCAGTTCCGTGTGAGTTTGATAAAATTAGGTCAAAGGAATTTTCAATTGAAAACAGTACTTTGTCATATTATCTACAGCACATCTAGCAAATTTATAAATCTAGTGCTCATTTGTGTAAACTTCCAGGTCATAATGAATGGTTTAGACAACATTATCATCAACTTCCTACAGGTGCAGCTGTGGAAATCAGTGACTTCAATCAAAAGCCTCTGTCAAGTTTCACCGCACTGTCATTTTTTTACATTCAGGTTTTGCTGAAATTAGCCCCCCCCCCCCAAAAAAAAAAAAAAAAAAAGTAAAGCAACCAACCGACCAACCAAAAAAAAAAAACAAAAAGAAAACCCCGACAATTCTGTAAGTGTCTTTACATCACTTCTACCTTTGGGTGGTGCTTTTGAGCAGCGCTGCGCTGTTCTTTTCAAGGCATTTAACTGCATTCATATTTTTACAATTTATACTAATACAGTATTTCTTTCATGATATTATGGAGTTAAAATTGCACTGTGTGTTTTAACACACATTACAACAACCTCTTAAGGCAAAAAAGTAAATTCATGCAAATGAGTTATAGAAAGTGGAAAGATTTGTGCTGCTTCATTCATTGCAGAAATAGTTATTGGGAAACAGGCGTTTTCCTTTTGTGGACTCTGTATGCTTACTGTGTCTCATGCAATTTGTCCGTTGCTAATAGTTATCTTTTGAACAGTAATCTTGAAAGGGATTATAAAAAGTTATGACGAAAGATGATGTGGCTGATACAGCTTGCTTTACATTATTTCATTTGTTTCATTTGTGTCTTTAAAATATTGTTGATACAGCTCATTCATGATACATCTCATGCAACTTGCTTTGCTAGTATCTGAAAATTAGAATAAATGAAAAACTTTATATTATGAAGTTATTTCCTCCTACATTTCCTAATTTTATAGTACTTCATATGCCACTGGCTTTCTAGGCATTCCTACAAAACACTGCAATTAAAAACCAGTAATATTCAATATAACAGTGGTCCCTTTTGAAGAATTCTCTGTGTATTAAAAAAAGTGAATTTATAACTAGTGAAGTCACAGTACCTTGTGAAGCTGAGGCCAGGGTTTCTCCTGTGTTCAGTCACAGGAGCAAACTACCCACAGTTCCCTCCCTGTCTGCTTTCAAACTGGCAAGTCTCCGTGACCTGAGAAACCACTTGTTGCCAGCAAAATCTTTTTGTAATGAGCCATAGAAACCTAGATCCTGAGTGTTTCCTGTTCTTTCCTTAGGGGTGGTGGATACTTTGAGCTCTGTTAAATTTGAGGGATATTCATTAGCTCATGAGGATAAACCTGTATTTTGTTAATGTTTTCTGACTTATTTGCTACTGTGTGTTTCACTTTCAAGTGGTTGTGTGCTTTTTTGTCTTTATGTTACTACCGTCAGTGCTCATGTAACTCTTTTACAAAAAATTTAAATGGCTCAGTTTATGCCCATTTTAGTTGCATTGAAAATGGAGATGTATTTTTCTTCTATTTTACTCTTCATTGAAAAGGCTATGAATTGCAAATTAATAATTTTTTATTTTTTTTTAAATTTTAACAAATATATATAAAGCTGTGATAGAATTATAACTTTTATTAATTGTGTCTGCCGCCTTTCCAGTGTTGGCGTAGGGTTCCTTTCTGTGTGAAGTTGAAGCCCTATTTGTAT